TAAACTGTAGGCATGTTTTTCTGTTGTCAGGTTTTTGACAGAGACAGCAGCGGTTTTCTTAACCAGCTCCAACCCTTGGAGGAGCATCTACGTCAGTTGCTGCAGAGGGAGAACCACAGAGGACAGAATGACTGACAGCAGCTAATATCATATTCTTGACTCCTTTCAAAACCTAACTTAGTATTCTGTGTTGCCGGTTTCCACTGAGATATTATTATGTTTCTTAAGTGACATTCCTGATGTTGCTCCATTTCAATATTTAGCTAAAATAAAACACAGCCAATTTAAAAAGGTCAAAAACATGACTTTCACATTTAGTTTTCCCCCAGGCCATTTCCAACTACACACCAACCACCAACTCTTTGAACTCTGCCAGCAAATAGGCCACTGACCCAAGAGGAAACCAAGTCTGCCCAAAACAATGGTTAAAACGTCAGCCTTCCAAACTTTGTCAGTTTACCATCCACGCAACTGGTGGATATTTTGGCAGCAGCATTCACCACCAACTCTTTTGATAAGTACAAGAGGAAAACAAGTTAAATTTCACTTGGCAATACGTTTGAGTTTAAACTACAGTCATTATTTTACTGTATGTCACTCCTACTGAACAGAAGTTTGACGTTCATTTATGCCACTTGTAGTTCCACTGATTACTGAAGACTTCCACATGTTGCCTGCAACCTGAGGCTGCTGAGCCACATGTGGCTCTTCAGCCTTGGTGCTTGGGCTTCCAGAGTGACTTTCTTTGATATTGTAATAAATTAAGCCTAGTATGGCAAAAACATGAATTGGATTAAATGAGCAATATCTGTAGTGGAATTTATCAGTGACAGTGTAGAGAATATTCTTAAAAAGCAAAATGTCACTGTTCTTTTCAACTCATGCAATTCCTAATCAGTCCAGGTAGAGTAACAATGTTGACCTCACTTAGTTCAGCTTTACTATAAGTGATTGTAGTGAGTGTGTTAGATTAAAACTGGGTTTCTTCTGTGCAAAAATTGATTTTAGCCTGTATTTTAAAAAGTGTTTTGGGTTGACATAACTGATGAAATGATAAATAGTCAATGGATTAATTTTGTAATTGTATAATTATATAATGTATATAATATATGTAAGTAAACACTACACTATACTATATTAATATATGTGTAAGTAAACACTACACTATACTATATCTATTATTATATATCTGTAATAATAATATAAGATGCATTTCTTTAATGCTGTTGTTATACATCAGGGACATCAAACTAAATCGTGCAAAAAAAAAAAAAAAACAACCAAAATTTAAAACGCTGTGTGAGCTTTAGGCCAAACAGGGTTAAAATTTATTGAACATTGCCTGAATGTGGGTCACAAAATCATTGTACATTAAGGATGATTTCCCAGCACAGAATTTGACCACTGTGTTTTACTAATCCAATAACCATAGACTGTTTAAGATAGACAACCATTATATGCTCTGATGTGCGACATAAAAAGATGTGGTGAACCATATTTGGCTCACAGACCTTGACAAACAAAGACAGCTGAGAAAAATATTCCCAATTACACAGAGAATTTCTTTTTTAAATGCAAATGTAGAGGAAACGTAAATATAAATGCTAAACAAACAAATTAAAAATGTTCCTTAAGGAAAATTCTATCCCAAAGCATACCTGCTGTGTACAGACACCAATTGTTGCTATTCACTTAGCCTATAAACCCACTACTGCTGCTATTCTCTGCTTCTGTATTACTGTCCCATTTCTCACCTCTTCTTTAATAAGTCATCGCGCTGGCATACGGGTTCTGCAGTGTTGTTTATTTTGGGGGAAGAAGACAGTGAGGCTTCACAGTCTGGGTTGGCTCACAGAGTTTAACACAATCTTACTCCTGCAATTTGTGGTGCTGTTGTAGGTGATGGCAGAGATCTGTAGCTGCTAACACCAGTTTGAACTGGTTTCAAAGGGTTCCCAGCGTTTCTGACAGAACACAGTCTTTTGCTGCTCATCAGACACCCTAAACCTGAAACAACAACAAATACCAACTAGCTGCAAGTTTCATTTGTGCATTCTAAAAAAAGTCCTGTGGTTTTGTAAATATATTTATGGAGAGGTCAGATATGGCAATATAGCATTCTATTTCATGCATAAACATATATGATTACATTGCCCAACTTATCACTTCACTATCATTTAAATTATCCAGATGTACCTTCCCAGCTCATGGTGAACTTCAATTGTTAGTCAAATTGTCCTCTTCCAGATAATTGGTGTCTGTGTTAAAATTCTACAACACAAAACAATGGCCTTTCAGCTCCACAGTGACACCATACATTGACAATCACTTCCAGTTGTTATCAACATACCAGTAAATCATTTCATGTCAGAACTGCACCAGCTCTTCTATGCAGCATCAGCTCGATCGTTTTGTCAAGTTTTCAGCTGCAGCACGTGTTTGTCAAATGTGAATATAGAGGGGGAAAAAAAAATTGCCGACATGTCAGTGCTCAGAGGGGCGTGATGGAAAGGTGGAAATAAATCCCTTTAGTGCCAGCACACATGTGCACAAACACCCCCTCATCTATTACCCCCCGCCCTCCATTCTCGTGGGTGTCGAAGTGAAAAATTAAATTTTTCTGATGAGAAAGTTTTTCCTGCCCCCATTTCTCTCCTCCCATCCGTTCTTTAATTTATTCGTATATTTATGAACTATTAATTTATGCACCGAGAGAGAAATTAACAGTGGTGCAGTCAAGTGTGCTGTGCTCACAATAGACGATCATCGCAAAGGGACTGACACACTCTAACCCTCACATGATATCACACACACTCAGTCAATGGGAAAAACAGACAGGTGCTGCTGCATCTCAGAGGCTGTTATAATAATAACTGGCCTCCGGGTGTGCAAAGAAATAAACTTCAATTTTTAACTGTTACAGGTATACCCAGGTAACCTTTTACCCAAGTAAAATGTAGTTGTTCATCTTCTTCCTCTTAATCGTTTCCAGGGTCACACTCACACCTGGAGGTCCGTTTGGAGTGTCCAATTAATGTAATTGTGCATGTTTTTGGACTGTAGTAGGAAAATGGACTACTGGCAGAACACCCCCACAAGGAAAACTCCATACAAACAAAATATCAGTTTGATATTATTTATATATATTTTTTAAATTATTCTCTGTATTATATATATATATATATATACTGTATATATAAATATATACTGTATATATATATAGTGTACCTCATTACAAAATAAATCCAACTTTACATATAGGTATAAACTAAAGCGCAAGCATTAAAAAATTCATTCACACCATGGCTAATGTAGAGTCTTGCTAAATCATGACTTTCCCTAATATCAATATTAGTCAAAACAATTGCTCTACCCACACCTACCCACTTGGATAAAATAGAATATATCCAAACATAATTCAGCAGTTTGTGCATAAAGCAAAAATGTACATATTCAATCATCTTTGCTAAATATCAATATATTATCAATAAAATTAAATTTAGATATATAATAAAATGCAAGGTGTAATATTTTAGTATTTTTAAAATGGACTAAACTATGATTCTAAAATCTTTTATGGCATTCTATTGAGGAGGATAAATATCGACCAAGGTGTGACCTTTAACAAATTAAATATAACCATATATATCAAAATTCACATTCATAAATATGCATACCTCGTTTAGCCCCACATAGATTAACTTTCTATATAGTTCTTATTTAATTTTTGTCTCAGACAGAAAGGTCGTTGACTATCATTAATGAAAACTCTAGGTCAATGAAATTGACACTGATTTGTTCAAATAAATACATAGAAAATAACCAAAAATGTAGGTAATTTCTCTAAGGCAAAATATATATTATTGGTTGTGAGGAAAATAGGCAAAGGCAAAATATATATTATTGGTTGTGAAAAATATTAGATTTTGCTGTTATTTTCAAAAAAATATATATATTTCTGGAAAAAACACTAACAACAGACTGGTATATACAGTAGGTGGCAAAAAGCCATCAATCAAACAACCTGGACTTGATCACGTCATCATGGCTGTGAGTCAATACACAATAACAAAGAAAAATTAAATGTTTGATAGTCAAGCCAACACAGCCATATCGGCCCCTCAGCCTACATCCACATGCTTCTCCTCGAGTTCCCACGCCCACGGTATCCCAGCATGCTACATGTTTATCCAGTCTGTCACACTGACAGTCAGTCACTAATTCAGTCAAACAATTAGACCAGGCAGTCCATCAGACAGTCAGCGTGGGCAGGAATATAGAAAGAAAGAAAAAAAAAAACGACAAGCAGACAAGTTATCCAACCCCTCCCCTAGGGCAATGGAACACAACACGACCCGCGCCGCGTCATTAGCAGGTCAACTGGCACGTGTGGGCGGCCAATCACCGTGTTTGCGTGCGTGTGGGATGGCGGAGCAGACGGGCCAGGCTATAAGCGAGTGACAGTGGCGTGGGCGGCGAACTGTGTTTTGGTGGACAGAGAGCACAACCCAGGGGAAGGTGACAATGTGGGTCTGCCTGAAATTGAGTGTGTGGCAATGTGGTCAGCTGCGGTGGCATCTACAAGGTTCTTAATGAAAAACGCCAGTGGGTGGACAAGCCATTTGTTAAACGCTCCGTTTCCATTTAGCTCAGACAAGTGGACCACACAGGAGTGATCACGGGGAAGGAACGACAACCCTTCCTACACCAATGTACTCTACTGCCCAGGAAATATGTAAACCACTTATCATGAGTTTTAATTTCAACACAGCTTGATTTTTAAATACCCTGGTGATCTTGGTTAAAATGAAAGAGTCTTCTAAAAATGTTGATATTGAGTAGTAATCACTAGTTTTTTTTATAATTGCATCAATCTTTATATATTTTTTGTCGGCCTGCTGCAATCTGACTTCAATGTTTTTAAATAAAACAAAATGTCCTTAAATTGAAATACGTATGAAAGTATGAAATCTTCCATTTTAGGAAGTCCAATCACTTACTTGTAGCTTTTGTGTCTAGTTCCTTTAGATTTGATATCCAGGTTGGTTGTCATCATTGGTTGTGGCTTCATCAGACAATCAAGGCATACAGGGTCTGGCATGGAATAAAGTGGGGTTATCAGACAATACTTTTGTTTATAATGCTTTCAGTAGGTATAAAAAGTAATTGCCAAGAATGAATAAAACTGAATCAAAAAGAGCCCATATCATTCTAAGATATTAATACGACTGCTTTGCAACATGAACTGATTTCTGAAAGACATACTGTGTATGTTTAACTCTGTAAAGGTCAATATGAGCACAGCATTTGAACAGATAGTCACATACAGTATCTACCTTTCCCTCAGTCACTTTTGGCTCAGCACCCAGTGACCTTTACCCAAAGCACTATATATTAAAATTTGACATATTGCTCCTTTAAGAGGCATAAACCAAACATGGAGTGAATGACTGCAGACCATAATGATACCACCATCTCCCTCAATTGATAGTGAACAGTGAAACAACCGTTACAAAATGAATTAAGTCTACCAGACAGCCACAGCACCGAGCATTTAAGTTAAACACACCATTAGACAAGATACTGCTGTTCATCAGCTTCAAGGATGCTCAGGCTTTAGGTTATTTTAAATGCCCAGAGAAGGACAAAGTGTCAATCAAGGCCCAGTGACTTCAGACGTTAACAATTAATCTCAACAGTTTAATCACTGGGAAGTCAGGAGGACTAAATTCCAACGATAGGACACAGATCTTTATGACTGATTTGCACCTGATTTTACGCCTTGGGAATTTGTTTTGACGTGACCGGATGTCACATGACAAATGCTGCTGCTTAAATGTTTTCCTCCGCACTTTCAAACTATTTGAGCTGGACAAATCACCAGGCGGATAATGAAACAGAAGTCTTTGTTCTATTTATTCCAGGATGCTACATGTTCCACCGCTGTTTTCATTATTTAATGTCTTTTATCCAGTTTTTGAAGCTGCAGGTGGTCACCTAATGGTTCCTCTGTTCCAACTGCTCCAGTTACTGGACCATTTGGGAAAAATTAGATGATAAAATGTTCTAACCTTCTGCCAAAATTAATGTCGAAGTGCCCTTGAGCATAGCAGTTAACCTAATATTCAATAGCAGGGGAGTGAGGGTAAATTAGGTGAAGTCTTCATTCAGGATGTATGTGTTTTAGGTTTCTTATGTTAATATATATGATGATCCAAACAAAAATCAATCAGGCCTCAGTATCATTGACTTAGCTCATTTTGGCCTTCTGTCATTGGCATAAATAATGAGAAACATGAAGTAATTGATACACATATAAACACAAACATAAACACACACACACACAAGACAGATGGACCAGGCAGACACATTACATATCATCCTCATCATCAACGCACACTCTCATGGGAGCCCCCCCCCCCCCCCCCCCCCCCCCGCTCCCAGATCTCTGTCCCTGTCCACATGTTGATGATTGACAACTTGGCCTAAATGAACTGCTACTACGGAGCCTTGTGTTTGTGCATAAATGTGTGTTTATGTAGCGGAGGGAACGGGGGGGGGGGGGGGTACCAAAAGTAAGTTATTGATCCATCGGGGCCCCTGAAGCTACTTATCAAATGAAGTGGACACAGAGGGAAGACAAGAGGTACTTTAAAGTTTCTCAAGTTTCATATGGTGGGGCATGACCAGCGCACACATACATACATACACACACACACACACACAAACACTCAACCATTCTGTCAATCTGTTCGTGTCTGTCTCTTACGTGTGTGTGTGTGTGTGTGTCTACACAAATAAAAGTTACCTTCCTGTCCACGGGGCCATCCATCAGTCCCAGTGACTGATAGGTCAAGTCCAGCAGGTCCAGCACCGTAGATGGACTCTTCGCTGTCAGGGCCTAGGGGGAGATGCTTTCACAGTGCCAGTGAATATTTGAGAAGATGGGTGTCTGGATAGAAGCCCTGGAGCCCTTGAGGGGTGACACAAAAAAAGGATCAATGGTGGACTTTAAGGTTCCTAGATCTATCAGAGTATGTACTTATAAGGGATGGCTGTCACTTGTTGGCTATATAGTATGGAGAGAAAGATGGATAATTGTGGCTTTGAAGGAAAATCTATATTACAAGGCAATAATTTTGGCACAAGAGCAGCAATTTGCATGACTGAGCCATTGCCAAAAAAAAAAAAAAAAAAAAAAAAAAAAAAGAAAACCTCTGGCAAGCGAGATGAGCGAGATGAGAATGTCAAAAATACAAATATGTCACCCGATCAAATTTAGCTCGTGACTAAGCGCTACAGTATGCCAGTATTCTGACTCCAATCTTTTCAGCTACAGAATGCAGAAGAAAAGATTTACAATAATCATCAGCAAGAAAAGCAAATTGCAGCTATTCTGAAAAGGCTACTCAGTGTGTTGGGATACGACTTGGTGGAGACCAACAATACACTGTAATCACTGTTCCCGTGTCTGTTGACGGGCTTAATCAATGACTATACAGTCAGCGAATAGACTGCTGATTCCATATGCCCGGGAAAGAATAGACAATCATTGACTAATCAGAACTTGATGGAAGCTACCTAGGGCGGAGAACAGCAGCTGTTCACAGTGAGTGTAGCTGTAATCACATTACATATTATTGATCTGCAAGACAGGGATTAGAGGTTCAGGTAGTCCTGTGGAGAATGAGAAGTGCTACAGATTTCAAGGTCACTATTGGACATTTGTGGAGCTGAACGAAGAGCAAAAAAAAAAAAGGTGCAAAATTACAAGGTACACAAAGAAAAAGACAGGTATAATCTGAGATGCAAACAGCAGTGTTTATTTCTGTCTGGCCTCACAAGGAAGGTTGGTTGCAATTAATTTATAATTTTCTCCGTACAAACATATGCATACAAAGTCTGTAAATACATAGATAATGCTTCTAAGATATGAGTGGTGGTGGTGGTGCTTAGGGCATTTCGAGAGTAGCTGCAAACTTGTCCACACTGCACTGCAGAGATATTGATGTCTTAATACAATAAAAAGCAAAATAAACATTATTATCCTGATCGTTATAATTATCTTCTACCCAGAGGCTCAAACTGAATTATTCATAGAGCGCTTAATTAAATGGGTTGACTAGGCAATGTCTGTCTGTGTGTGTTAGTGTGTGTGTATTAGTGCGTGTGTGTGTGTGTGAGTTCTGGACAGTAACATTAAATGAGAGTAAATATTCAGTCGTTCTGGAGGGAATGCAAGGAAGATGATGCTGTGACAGACACAGAGGGAGAGACAGAGATAGGGGGAAGACGGACAGAGGGAGAGAGAGAGAGGATGAAGAGATTACACATGCATCCTTATTCGCCCTTCATAAGATCCCTGTTGAGGAGAAGGGAGACAGACAAGCGTTAAATGTTCCAGAGCGACAGTACTATCTTTTTTTTTTTAAACAGTTTTAACATTTACCAGCTGGCACAGTGAGCAGACGTTCACTGCAGTCCGCACTTAGCTCTGCTAATAAATCCGCACAATGCAAAGACACACAGTCACACAATAACGCACGGAGGTGCGTAACAAAGCCGCACGCAACACTTCAATGGTGAAGTCAAGGCCGCAGCAGTTAAATGGCAGCAGAGCAGACAGTTATTACTTCTCGCTCAGTGTGATTACTTTATCAACTGCTGAATGGAAGCACTTCCTTCAGCCCTGCCACTGATATTACTCTCTGGAAATGGAGATGGAGTCACCGAGCCAAGGGCACAGAAACACATAAACAGACACACACAAACACTCCAAAGGGCAAAGAAACTTTAATTGAAGAGGCACTCGGGAAACGCCTGTTTGCATGACAGGCTACCGTGGCATCTGAAAAAGTGTGCATATAGTGACATCATGTCAAAACTGCACACGGCACAGACACGCACCCAAACACTGGGCCATTCATGCATGCCTAAATAAAGACAACTTACATGGAACCACGTACAACTGTACATTTATGCCTTCATGGTAGACCTCTGTCAGCGCTTGTTTTTTTCCAGCAATTTCTTCTTTATTTTTCAAATTTTAACGAGGGGTCGCAGCGCACACATGCACGCACGTGTAAATCAAACGACGTGCCGAACTGCCAACAGACATTACTCTGGACGCCATGGTCCTGCAACAGCCAAATGACATGGCTATGTATTAGTAGCAGATCTACTTTTTCAGTACGTTCCACTAACCAGTCTGGCTGGACTCCCTGAACCCCTGCTGACTCCCAAACACAACCTCCAACAATACTACACACACAGCTACAAACAATATATTGTCTGAATCCTGGAGGTCGACTTCAAGGATTTGCTGCAGCGCAGCTGAGAGAAGACAAATGTATTCTCTAAATGTAGCTAAATATAATCTTTATATAATACATCAACCAAGGCTGGCGTGAACAAAGAACAGACCCAGACCAGGAGAAGGAGAGCGGCCCTGAAACAGCTGGGGCCCCTGGTTCTGAATCATTATTGAGGCCTTCTCCATACAATGAAACGATACACAACAACTGCTCTGTCTACGTTTCCACCAAGAGTCTGAGGTCATATTTTTATTACCTATAATTGGGAGCCATTTTAGGGCCTGCACTCGCTCTTAGGGCCCACATCAAAAATGTAGCAGGAAGCATAAAATGTAATCTTCATAATTTCAACAAAACAACGTCTCTGACTGAGATGGCTACTGTGATGTACTTTTATTGGAACATATTATATGGTTGACCATATTATGGGCTGAGCATTTAGAGCTATTTTAATTTAAAAAACAGACTATTAAAGGAATGGTGCATAGATATTACTTTTAGTCGGAGTTGAATTTCTTATTATTATTATTCTCTGTAAGCCCCCCACAGAGTTGAATTTCTTCTTATTATTATTCTCTGTAAGCCCCCCAAAAAATGCCTGTACATTAAACCAGATTTTAAAACCTCAAAAATTACATGTATAAAAAAGTACTGTTCTATCTAGAAAACAGGGAAATGTAATTTGTTGGTTTAAATGGATAGATGGAGGTATGAACTTATGGATTAATGTACGTTATTGATCCAAACATTTAATTCAGCATGACAGAGCAGCAGCACCGTGGTACAGTTGTGCTGTAGTTAAAAATAAAACACAAGTCAAACTGTAGCGAGGCACTCTAAATGTCCAAACATTACCATGAGGACAGTTAAAGTAATAAAATAGAAATAATAAAAGGTAATTCAACAAAAGGCTTTTTAAAGTAAATCAACATGTGCAGAGTTAACAGCTGCAGTGTGTGCAGTTTGTAAATTAACTGCCACAGGAGCAGAGATATCCAAATATATGTACATGTTTCATTAGCTGACACCATGGGGTTTGTGTTTAACATATGAAAATGAAAAGAAAGAAAATATCAATAACCTGTGTGCGTAAGATGACGTGAATTAGTCAGTGATTGGTGGACAATTTGCATTCCAATTAAGCACACAAACAAAGGTATCCAGACATTTACTTACATTCATGAATATATATACATATATTTTTTATGTGTGTGTGTATAATAATATCATAATACATTAGGCTTGCAGAAGGACAAGGCTGGCATTTAAATAACAGCATCATTCTCTACAGGACCAATGCAGAATGCTCGTGATTAACTTTTACATGATGAGATTGGAGACTGAGACTAATGAAGTGGACTCTGTCAGAGAGCAGAGTGAACCAGGAGAACTATAACCAGGGATTAGGGTGGTAACACGAAACGAAAAGAAATATTGTTTAAGAATAGGAGGCTCTGACTTACTGTAAAAGACCAGTGGCTTCTGATATGGGTGACGTAGGTATTGGCCAAGGAAGGCATCATGTGGTGGGGCGGCAGGGTGCTTGCCAAAGAAGATTATTCCACAAGACTATCTTTTGTGCCATCGACCTTTACAACGCCTTTCGTGCTGTGAGAGAAGGGAGAGGGGCTGCAATTATCCATCTAATAGTATAATACAATGTAAAGTATATCATACCAAAACAGAGCACATTTCACTCATCATATTGTAAATAAAACCATCAAGGTGCACATTTTAAAGTGTGTTTCAAGTTGCAAGTACAAATTTAAATTAGATTTCAGGTGTGTTTACCTTCTGCATCCCTGTTTTAAATATGTTTTATTTATGAAATACTTAGGAGTAATACTTGTCTTCCAATTTTGGATGTCTTTTAAACTTTAAAGGTCTTTACTTTTTATAGTACAGTAAACGGTACATGTACACATTAGAGAGAGCAGGGTGGCCCTCTGCCCTAACTTTACTAGGACCACCCCTGGTGAACGGTGAACAATAACATTCAAACACAAACAACGTTAGCTTCCGTGTCCGAGCTACCTCATTAGAATGCGCTTGTGCAACAAACACGACAAACACGTGCGCATGCACACACGTGCACCTCTGTGGCAACGAATTACGGCGATATATTTAAAATTAAGTCAAATTAGAAAAAGAAATCCATCCCATTACACCTTTCCCTCAAATAGAAAGAGCGAAAACAAACAAAAAAAAAACGTTTCTTTCACCTCGAGATTTCGAGTTGTCTGTGCCTGGGCGTTTATACTCTGCTTGGTCCTGATAAATGTTTACTGAATAATAATAACAACAACAACAACAGTAATAATAATAATAATTTAAATATATATTTTCAAAAACTATAATTACTATAATTTCTTGAATATCTTACCAGGAAAAAATAAAACAGCGTTCAAATGTTTTTAAAGACAAATTCTGACAAATTAAAGTATTTAAGGTATTATATGGGGTATAAAAGGAGTACTTGTGCTTTGTGAGGACTGGTACTGTCTCACCTGAACCTTGAGCACAAAAAAAGAAAAGCATCTTTCCATATGTGGGCATATAATAATTTCCTTTAAAAAAACATTTTTGTTTTACATGTATTTTTTATAAAAATTAAGCAAATTCGTTTTGTTTTTTTATTTTTTAAAGTCTAAAATATATATTGATTCAGCCACAGATATTAGTCGCCACAAAACAATGAGTGGACAGTATAAGTGGATCATTGGTGTAAACGTGAGCGTAAATGTCTCTTTGCCTCTATCTATGTGGTCCTTTGATGGACTGCAGACAGGTATAAGTGTTTGAAGTTGAATGAATGAACAAATGCCTCCTTGTGTGTGTGTGTGTGTCTGTGTGAGGTTGTCAGTGTTCTCTTGTCTAAACATACAGCACAAACGCAGGAAACAGAAGTGTGCGACGCTCAGGTTGGCAGACTGCAGGAGCATGGCCTCAGTGGATACTGAGTGATTAGGTTTACACTTGTATCCTGGGGGCAACAGCACATTGTGTGCATTTGTGTCTGCGTCTCAGTGTAGTGAGTCTGCACACAGTGACCCCATGACCTCTACCTGAATACTTAAAAAATTGTGTCGGGTTACCCAGGCTGTGCCACTGTGTCTGCTACAGTCACTGAGGAAGTTTTATCTCAGGGCTGTTACATATTCTGTCAGTTCACCTTTACTCACCTTTGGTTATCTTTGTTGACTTTCATATTTATTGTGTCACTAGTACTCAGGCCTATGTGCAGCGACATTAATTTTAGTTCTCTGTAATATATTAGCTTTATTGTTCCTCGATTTAACTGTCACCCATTCTAAACATTATTGTTCCTGACAATTCCCTCTATTGGCTGTCAGCTTTATCGCCTATTCACAGTGATGGTGAGGTAAATAAAAACGGAGGCATTTTATACCATCCTAACGTAAAACAGTATTTTTTTTATCAATTAATGTTTGATGCCTTTGACTTGTATTAGAAGTAGCACTAAATCCATAGTAATAAACTGTAAATCTGCCACAAGAAATTGACCATTATTTGATTTAATAAAAGATAACGATTGTCTTATCCCGCTGCTCACAGCATTGTTTAATCAAGGCAAAATAGATTATAGGATAAGGAATATCAAGAGTCCAAAACCAGGCAATAACAACATTATCTGACAAAGAGTCAACAAAATCTTTACCTGAAATGTCCCATGTTTTTACCTATCATTACAGAGCTAATCTGATATTATATTCAGTTCAGTGGAGTCACATGACCCTTCACACAGGGTCCTTTAAGGTCCACCATGACCTGCAAAGCTAATGGTACACATATAGTCAAAGCAGAGAGAGCTTCATTGACTACTTAATGGGGGCTGTTTAATCACCACCACCACCACTCCCCACCCTCCATTACACACACACACCATTTTTGTCTGGCTAATGTATTTTAAAGGCCAAGAATTAACTTAGTGGGAGCAGAAAAGAAGGTTGGGACCAGATGTACACACTTAGTGTTCGGGTCTGTTTGGAGAGAGCGAGACAATGGTGTTTTCTGCTAGGCACTAACGACACACTATAGGGGCCTCTCCTCATTGGACATAAGCCTACTCGTACACAAACATATACGTGCACACAAACACACACAGGCCAGCTGGGATTGTACCCACAGACAGATATCCAGGCTCCCAGATGCCCAGGTGGTGGTGGTGGTGGTGGTGGTNAGACTGCTAACACACTTAAAAGTAATGAGCGCAAGAACACTCCGACTTCCATCCATAGCCTTACAATGGCTCTCACTCACCTTCAAAGCTCATGCTACCGCAGACTGACACATATGTAGTCACGAAAACATGGAAGGCACACCATTTTTTTTTCTTTTCTTCCCACCTTCTCGCAATTAACACTGCTCCTATAGCTTCAGGCACAGAGGAAATGAGGTTTAGGGTTCGTTCATGTTGTGTGTGTGTGTGTGTGTGTATTCAAGAAGGAGGGCTGTGAGAGTGTAGTAGGATTATGGAGGAGGTGGGTGGTGGGTTATGGTTGGTGGAGGAAATATAATGTGTGGCATGTAACTCTGTACTCTGGGTAAGGTAATGACCGTGTATGCAGGTTTGTGTGTGTTGTTGCACACCAGGATGTGTGCACACCACATATGTGCACGCATTAAATCATTCCCACCCATTCCAACTCTCAGTATCATGTTCTGAGGCTGCACTTCATTCCTGTCTGTCTGATTGTGTTGTTGTGCAGTCATGGCTAATTACCTTGATAGTCTGTTGACAGCGTTGAGACAATTAAACAGCCAAATGGAAAACAGGAGGGGGATCTTGTCTAAAATGTCCTCACCGAGGGTTGAACGAAAGAGTGATTCATTTCCTACATGTGTTTGTAATAGGAAATTGTTTATAGAGAAAAAAAGGGGCTGGATATTTGCTTAGCAATATGTGCAACACTGATGGCAACGCTGGATACAAGGTAATTATGAGTTTAATTCTGCTGCTGTTATGACATTTCAGCATATACACGTTCATGTCGGCGGCCAAACATTTTACATCATATTTACAAACTCCTGTATGTTACACTATCATTAACATGGTTTACTATATCTCTGAGAAGTGAGGGCAAAAGCGGGCTGGTGCACGAAAAGACATTATTTATTTTAGTGAGTCTGACAAGTTCAAGTTTGTCTAAATGTTTTGAAAGACTAGAGCAGAATAATTTGAGACCAGTGAACGTCCACTGGACAGAAAAATCAGTTGTCCAAGCTAGGGTTCTGTGAAGTATTAAAGTTTCCACATCAACATCCAACAAATGATATATTCCACGGGCATTTCTGCAGTAAAGGGCATGTTTGATGCGACTTTTATGCAAATTAATATAGTTCCTGTTTTTTTTTTTTTAAATTTGCTAGATAATAATAAATCCAGTTAGTTCGTATGCATATGAAAATACCAAAAAGAAACTGTTGCCCAAGCCTGTGTTGATTGGGACCGCGCATTATTTTAGGACAAAAAAAAAAGTTTTATTTTGACATTTGTTGCTTCAGATTACTTATTCTCCTCTGGCTTTTCATAGCAGCTCTGCATTCTTTGATCTTGTATTAATACTACCTGTAAACACTAAAATCAAAAAAGGACGTTCGGGCAAAAGTTGAGGACATTTATCTGATTGCTGTTCCTAGCATTGCATTTGAAGTAAATATTAGTCTTAATACAGTTGCAATCTGTTTTTTGTAGTTGCCAGGGATGCAGTTTAGTATTCAAAGCGGTGGAATGTGTACTTCTTTTATCATTTTTGGTCATTTGCCTAAATAAGGATGAATAGTCCTCTTTTGTAAAAGTATTCAAAAACATGTATATTACATAGTATGTAAAAATATTTTTTTTTCCATTTAGTTCCCATACTTTTAAATGCTCAAATGTATTCCCTAAACAGTTTAAAATGCAGACTTCCTGTCTTCCTATCCACAACGACTGGCCATTTTGCACGTCCACGCCTGAACTTTACATTTAAATCTACGGAGAGCTCCTTGAGAAGTTTAAACAAAGGCTTTGACTCTGTTTGTACATTTCTGCATGTATTTATGTGGCCTGTTTTTTGTTTACACCCACACCCCTCAGTTTCGTCCAGACCACCACTTGAGACCACTGTGGAAATTTTACCCTTGAAAAAGAAGGCCTCAGATGTGAGCGAGAACCATAAACACAGTCACAAGTCGACCCACACTGTTTGAAACGTGATTTCGGTTGGGAAATTATCTTTGAGTACAACAATTCTGGTTGGAAAAAAAAAACAACAAAAAAAAGGTTTTGCATAATCAGGCTTGTTCACCAATTAAAAATACATATTTTTTTCATTTGCATACTTCACATATATTGTTTACTACAACAGAGAATTAAGGATTTATATAGAGCAGATCCTTCCCATAGGTGACAGCAGCATCCATTATGTAAATATAGTACATACAAATGGAATTTACATAAACATGATGGGGGAATTAAGAGGGTTATCAGGGTTAGTGTTTCTTAGAAGTGCGGGTGTAAGATGGAGAGGGCTTTAAAGATGCATTATGGGATTTCTAGCAATATTGCAAGACGTTTCTCATTAGATGGATTGCCTGTAAACCAAACACAGGGAAACAGGAGAGAGTACAAAAGGTTATGAGTGGAATTTAAATCTTACCCTCAGCTGTAAATTAGACAACATGTGTTGCCTGAACTATCACTTCACCCCGGGGAGAAAATAAATCAAACGCATGTACACAAAGGCTGCAGAGCAAAAAGAATCATGTCTTCACAAGTTACTGCTCATGGCATTGTAGAAACATACTCCCTACTTTGGGAGAATATCCACACGGCTTCAAATTCAACTTTGGCCTGGAGGCGTTGTAATGTGAGAAGAGCGTAGGTCGAGATTTCTGTCACTAACTCGGTAGGAGGGCGACACAGGCACCCCGGTGCTTGCTGTTGACTGATTCCAGATTGGGTCCTCAGGGGTTGTGGTGTGACGGGGTGGATGGGTGGTGGTGCACAGTTGGCGGGGCTGGCACACACACACCCTCAAGTCTGGCCCTGAGTTTGTGTCTGGCTCCTGGTGTGCATTGAAAGGATGAGAGCTGGCAGCATCCCTCTGTCTGACACCACTACAGTTGGTCCCCTCTGGATAGTCTCCACACACCCTGCTTCCTCTGCTCCTCACACCCACCATCCTAATTGTCACCTTTTTCTGTCTTTTTTTTTCCGCCTTTCGTCATCTGTCCATATGTTTTTTTCTTCCTCCAAACCTGATTCCGCGCAAATCAAAGTTAAACATTTCACCAAATAATACATCACTGTGCTGTATTTCACCTGCGGTTACAGCAGACATTTAACTGAAGGTTTAATTCCCCCAAATATCACTGAACAATAAAATAATGGAACATTGCCGGTACAGAAAATAAAACTTTACTGCAAGTTTTACTGGCTGTTTTCAGGCAGCTGTGGTCAGGGAGGAACTGCCATCATATTGGCGGTGGACGCCAATGTACACCAGGTAATAAAAAGCAGCTCATATATTTGCTTAAGTATAACCATATTTGCCCACCAGACCCATCCTATCCTTCCTGGAGTCTCTTTGGTGTCTGTGTCTGTAATTTTTGCATAATTTGACACCGTTTTCACATCGAGGAAAACCTGATATTTCCACAGACTTGAATATGAACTGCATAGGCCCACAGAATTAACATGATACCAGGATGAGAGCTAAAAGTCGTAGTATTGACGTGGTGACAAGTTCTTCTTTCTGCCACGAGGCCTCCCAGGGCTCTGATCACTCTCATCCATCTCTGCTCCTCATCTGTTCTACATTCAGGACAGTAGTCCGCCTGCTGCCGTCAGTATTTCCTTCATTTACCAGGGGGAAGACTGAGACGGCTCCAGTTTAAAGGAGACGGCAGACAGGAGGTTCTGGAGAGATCACCCCCGGCTAACAGGAATACATTTTGTTTGTATGTGTGTTCTTGTGTCTGTGTCTGTGTGTGTGTGTGTGTGTGCGCTGAGGGAGGTCTAAAAGCACTAAAACCCCTGTAAACTGCACATCTGTGCTAAAGTGAACTCCAAATTTACCATGAAGACACATTCCCCCTTTGCTCTGTTGTGTTGTAAGTTGTTGTGGTGCCCTACCCCCAATGAGTGACCCCCCCCTCCCTAAAATCTAACCTCCCCCTCTCTCTCGAGACCCCACTCACTCCACCCTTGTCCCCTCCCTCTGCGCCTCTCTGTGGCAGATGGGCACTGTGTGTGACAGAAGGGTCAATGGGTCACATCCACATGGGGTAGGGCTCTGTCTCAGTGTGTGTGTGTGTGTGTAATTTGACCTTTTGCGTACACATGTATTTGTGTGTTGTCCTCCTCTGTGTGGGCATATGCACGCAGCACGGGTCACCGTTTATTTGCTTCTTCCTGCTTGTTTGTGTTTTCTTTTTTAATAAATGTGCTGGGTTTTTTTTTTAATTAAACTCTCTGTGACTGATTAAAGCACCAGAACTGTGTGCGTTTGCATGTGTTGTGTGTGTGAGGCTTTTGTACTTAGTTTACGAGGGTTTAGAACTAAAAAGCGGCAACTTTACAAGTGTGCTTCTTCCTTGTTTCTTTCAAAACAAACTCTTACATTTTTTTTTGCTAGCTTTGCCAATTAAGGAGAGTATTGTAAGAGGGATGTTTGTAGTTTGATGCTGTTTTGAGTGTCTCCAAGATCTGTGGTGCCCATTGTGTGATTCATCCTCTCTAAACCAACAGACATTTACAGTAAGACACCCATCTGGACTGCAGGCAGTCTAGTGATACATCAGCACTTACGTTTACGGAGCCATGGTTTCATCATTTGAGCAGACTGTTACCAATTATTCAGTCGATTGAAGCCTTTTGGGTTCGTTTGTTTGTTTTTTTTCTCCCTTCAATATATTTTTTTTACTGCATTTTGACCCTTTTTTCACACTGGGTTTGTATTTAGAAATACCTTCCTTCTTTGTCGTGGGTGGAAAACCATGCAGCTGGAGTCACTCACAAAGTCTCAGGTTCCTCTTCGGCTCATTCCTTGTAGCTGCAAATTATACCAAGGGCTCTTCTTCAGCTTCCATGTGGGTTTCTTGAAGAGAAAGCAGAACAAAGCCCTCTTAATGTAGGAACTATAGACCAGTACATGTATAAGCTGCACAGACACAGAGTAATAAGGTGAAACTGACTAATGAAGTGATGAACAAACAATAATATTAATGGCTCATCCTGGTCAGAAGTCTGACTGATGAGTCAGGGCTTGGCTAAACGTAAACCGTGTTAAGCCTAAGTGTGTGTTTGTGTGTGTGTGTGTGTGTGTGTGTGGGTGGGTGGTTGGTGTCAACAAGGTTGGCAATGGTTTGTAACCCTGAAATTGTTGTGTAACCTTAAATAGCCCCTGATTTCTCTCCTCGAGCGCAAACACATACGCAAAAGGACACGCGCGCGCACACAAACACGCATGCACATGCACGCCTTCCCCTGCTGTGTCCCCAGTCGCAGACATGATATGCGTGACTGTGCCTCACAGACACAGTCACGCATATTTTCACGAGTGTCTGAGCCCATGTGTGCGTCTGCGTGTGTGTGTGTGTGTGTGTGCGCATGGCTGAAAGAGAAACAAACTGCGTGGACGCAAGTATTTCTGTGTGTGCCTGCGTTTGCATGTGTGTGTGTGAGAGAGAGAGAGAGAGAGAGACCCATTGTGCATGAGACAAAACCAAGAGGGCATGCTCATCAGTGGTAGAGACACAGATTTGCATAATGAAATTCCCTCTATCACACCACCACAGAGGCGGACATAAAACAAGATCCTTTAACACCTAGGTGAGCACAACAGACACACACACTCACACTCATTTATCCCCCAGACCATCAATTCCACCCCGGGCCTCAGGAGCTTTGGACACTTGTTACTGTAGGTGCCACAGCTGTTTGCTTAGGTGTGTGCCCCCCGCTCCTGTACCACACTTGTTCAACCACATGCACTCACTCTCCTGCTCCTCCACTCCTGAACTGTATCTGATGGGGCGTTGCATCACGCAACGACGTTTTGTTCGTTTATTTCAAATTGTCTTGATAAGAAATAAATAAATCAAATAAATGCACTCAGATCAGCTCACTGATTCAAAAAATAACCCCAGTCTAAAAGCTTCAGTCATGTATGTCTGTTTTTATGCATGTGTGTGTGTAAGAGTGGGAGAATCGGAGCCTTTGTGCACTTTGGTGCTATCAGTGTATCTGTCAGCTGAGATGATGAAGGCAACCGGGGACCTTCACATGTGAACGCCTGGCAGACAGGAAATCTCCCATCACCACTGTTCTCTGCCTGCCTGCCTGGATGTAATGTGGTACACGCGTCAAGCAAAAGAGAAAAATAAAGAGAGGCAGAGTTTCAGAGACTGAGGAGAGAGAGTGGGGAGTAGAGGAAATCAGTGGTTTTTGGACACGCATCATTTTTCCTCCTAGAAGACACGGCAGCTGTTGTGTGTAATTGCAAGGGTGAGTAAAAGGGGTAAGGGAGGGAGTGACATGCAGAAAAGAGAGGAGGGAATTGGGTGAGAAGGGGACGGGGTGAAAACATCCTTTAGCTATTATAAAGAAATCCTAAAGGGAGCAGGAGTGTGTGTGAATGTGTGTGTGAGTGTGTGTGTGGTGGGCTGTCGGCTCTATACAGAGACCACCTGTTTCGTCATAGGGAGAAAAAAACAAAACAAAACAACAACAAAGATGGAACACGACGGCAAACGTGGCGGGCAGGCAGCAGAGGATTTCGCAGGTTTTAAAAATGTTATTCCTCTGTGGGTTTAAACACTACAGTCAGCATTTAACCATCACTGGCAGCACTTACTGTATGCTGAATGAATAGACACCATTCACACTTACAGCTGACATATCCCCATTTGCTCCCCCCACCAAAAACAACACCAGATGATTTCATATTGTAGTGATGGGAAGCAGAGATTTTTCCCAAAAAATAAATAAAAAGCTGACATGCGCCCGTAAACTTCAACAGACGTGATTAGCCGCGTTTGCGTAGCCACCGCGTCAGGCCACGTTCCTGTCACCTCCAATTCTCTCCATCGTTGCTCATGGTGTGTATTAGTAAAGTCAATCACGGGTTCTCACTGGATCAGGCCAGGAAGTGCAATTAGCAGTGTTCAAACCAACATTAGCCCTGCATGAACAAATGCAGCCCCCTTATTTATTTGAATGAGGCTACTTTGCTGACGCAGCAGGAGAACAAATGCAGGGAGCTCTGCTTTAAAAAAAAAAAAAAATGTTTCCAGCGAAAAAGCTGAACTCAACGGAACTTCTGCCAGTGCAATATTATATAGAAAAACACAGCAGCGGCCAAGTAGTGTGCCACATGCTGGAGTAGTACTACCATACGAACTACTCTTTTGTCACCTGGCAATGAGGTGTACTTGCATTTTTTACATGGGAATGACAATTCTCACAAATGTGTGTTTACGTCACTACAATGAACCGGGTTTGTTTTAAAGGGCTTAAATAATGTATTTGTCGATACAGTTGAATGTTGCATTTGTTAACTAAGCCTTACTTGGCTGAGTGTGTATACAGGCGCTTGTTTTCTCACAATATGCCACAGTGTGTGCAACAATGTGTGTGTACAGTAAGTAAATGCAGCATCTGCAGGTGTGGCTAAGTAATTCTATAAGCACTTTGTACTTATGTGTTCATGGTTTTGCATAATGAGGTTTGAAAGCACAGCAGCCCAATGTGGTCCTTTGCTCGTTCACATCTCGCCTGTTTGTGTGCGTTTTTTTTTTTTCAGTACACTTAAAGTGAATGTCCGTGTGATTTGCAGCATCTCAGTGCACTCCTACATGTATCGAGGCTTTACGTATGCACAAGTACTCCGTGCAAGTACATATGCAAGTATAAGTGTGCCTAATGTGTGCATGTCAGTGCATATTTTATGACATGACTGGATGTTTTTTTTATATTACATATATTTTTATATTTGCCACCGTGTGTACATATACAAGCATGTACGTTACTGCAGGTTCGCAGTATGTGTCAAACGTAAGTTTTGAGTCAATGATTGATTTATCACAATGAATTATTATGAAGAATTATAATTAATCTAGATCATGGGTGTCAAACTTAAGGCCCGGGGGCCAAATGTGGGCCGCGGGTGCTTCAAAAGCATTTAGTGAAGTCCATGCAGCTGAGTTTTTTAACTTATGAAATTAAAAGTTGTTTTTATTACACAGCAATGAACAATATTTTTAGTTTTAATAACTAATAATCAATTGCAGAAACATGTATTAGTCTGTGATGGAGTAGTTCCATCTATACCAGTGGTCCTCAACCTTCTTTGTTCCAAGGACTGGTCAGCCAGTACCACCTGTTACTACAGACTGGTACCAAGGTGCTGAGCTGATTGAAGGATCATTACATTTTCAAAATAAAACATCTATTACACTCTGTTCTATTTGTATCAGAGTCTGAATAACATTTTATTTTGAAATATTGCCAGGTTATCTTTAAATAGAGAAAGTAAATGGGTATGACTGGATTTTCTTTGACTTAGACTTAGACTTTCTTTATTGTCATTGCACAGAAACACAAAGAATAAACATCTGTACACCGCTGGTCTGGAACTTAAAGACAACTCAACAGGTGTATGTTTTATACCTGATGTTTTTTTGGAATACTCCAAAAGAATTCCATTTTAATGTAGAACATTTTCAGGAAAAATATTCAAAAGAAAAACTCCAAATTTAGCCTGATTGAGTTGGTGGATTCATGTCATGACTGTGCGTGGCGATGGTTGCTCATAAAATGATTAGAGTTTCTATCAAAACTTCAATGAAGCGCTGATTATTGTACAGTATATACCTGCAGGGCAGTTCAATCTTCACAAAATGCAGATCTTCCCAGTATCTCTGTTGTGCTATTGACCTGTGTGTTTTTCATGTTTTCGTCCATGTTGGACACACCAGAGTGTTTGCTGACCCTCATCCATCTCATCCCATCAGAGCTGGCCCCATCCCGGAGATAAGAAGTCTACCCAGCAGCCAGACTTCTTAACCTGCAACACTCCACAACACTCTTCTCCTGCTATTACCCACCATTTACTGCACCTCACACACCAGCAGGAAAATCAATACTTTACTGTGTGTGTGGTGCTAGTAGTGGGGATTTCAGTCAACCCCGGTTGGCTTTCAAAGCAAAACATTTAATCACTGACCCCACCCAACATCTACACACACACACACACACATAGAGCCCACTCAGCCAAAGCACCCCTGCTCCCTTTCTGCTCCTACCACTGTTCAAACACTCACACACACTCACACCCGCATCTTTTGAAACAAAGAGTTGTGAACACCTTTGTCTGCAGCCAGCTGCTCGCTGGGTCGTCTGGTAAAAGTGTAACACGCGCACACACACACACAAAAAGTCACGCACGAACATGAAGATAAACTTAATGAGGACTTTGTGAACGTAAATCCCTTAACGTGCTGATGTCATTGGTACAGTGTGGAGCAGGGCCCCCTTTGGTATGCTGGCCACACACGCACGCCGAGATACAAGGCCCTCTGCTCCGTTTCCTTTAGCAACGGAAGTTGAGTATTTAAAAGCGGCGCTAGACAAAACAAATACCCTCCTGCCCCTCGCTCCATCCCCCTCATCGACCCTTCCTTCTTTCTCGCCCCTCTGTCCTTCCTCTTTCCCCCCTTGCCTCATCTTCTTCCCTCCTCTCCCATAGTCATCTCACCTATAGCCCTGTTCTCCATCATTGGCCATTCTCTTTTTTCCATCCATTCTCTCCTATGCCCCTCTCGCTGCCCAGTTCGCACGCTAACACGGCTCAGTGCCTCCCTGGACACACACCATTCTCCATGCTTATTGTTCCCCCTGACAGCTTTTGTAGTGGGGAGAAAAAGTGACCTCTCCCTCCTCCTCTTTATTCCCCTCCATCTCCCAAATTCGCCAACTACCCCTACCCCCCCCTCCTTCCCTTTACCATCGCGGGTCCACACACAGACACTCACACATTCCACAGGCGTAAAGGTCAAAGGGTGCAGCTGCTTCAAAAAAGAGATGGGGGAGGGAGAGGGGAGGTGGAGATGGAAATGGAGGCAAGTGAATCATTCATTTTCTCTCTTTCTGCTGTGGGCAGAAAGAGTTGGAGCAATGGTTTTCAGGGGTAGTTTGGGGAGACTGTTGGGAGGGGGGGCAGGCTAATGAAAAGTGAGGGGGGTATAGTCTGGTTTTTCTGGGCTTGTTTTGAAGGATTTGGAACAGCAGTCGTTGTACCTCTTTCTCACACTCTGTTTACTCTCTTTGGCCGCAGCCGATGTAAACACAAGTGAACACAAATAAATAGTGCAGCCATTTACCAGTGAAGATGCCTGGCTGTGTCTTCTTGGTATTTATGAAGACAACACGCTGGAGCTGCTCCGGGCTAATAGACAAACTCCTCCTTTTATTTAAACTGACGTTTGTGTTAAAAGTGCTGCTGGGGCCACAGCTTTATCATTATTCAGTATCTCATCAAGTATCTCTGACTGTAGTAACGATCTCTCTCTCTCTCACGGTGTAGCTCAGTCATAGATCCTCACATTTGTCCTATTTAGCTGCACTTCAAGGGTCCGTGTGACTCACACTATGACAGCCAGCCTGTCACACTGTGTCTTAATGAGACACCTGAAAAGAACAGAGCCACCCTTAATGTTATTTTTAACACATTCACTTGTGTAAGCTGCCATAACTAATAAAATTTTGGTTTTGTTTTGCATATTCCCTTATTTTCCACTGCTCACCAAAGAGCTGATTAGCTCTTTTTGGCACTGGTTTGGCCTTTTTTTTTTTTTGGCCCAAAAATATCATGGGGTATTTTAGAAATTTTTAGATGCTACATCGAGTCAGTACTGGGTCAGGAAACAGTCTGAGACACTGATGCTTTCTTTGATGAAAACCGTGGCTTCCAGCAGGGAAACAAGCAAACGAGATTCTGGCGACTTAACAAAAGACTTCTCAATCTTCTGAAACAAATTTCATTTAGAGATAATGAACGTTTTTGACTCAAGGAGAAACAGGAGTTCCTGGTGTACTGCCGGCTTACTTTGCATATTTGAAGCAATTAGGTAACACAAACAAATGCTTTCAGACACTGAAGTTACCAAATAAGACTTTTTAAATCACAAACCGAGCCAAGCGTAGATCAAAAGCTCCTGTCTGCAGTGTAGGAAAATTACACACACGAACTTTGGACCCTAGCAGGAAAAAGCTAGCAAACAAACATATACTGTTTACATTCTCGGCTAAAGCTGATGTAGCTTTTTCGAGGTGAATGTTTGATTAAGTTGTCTGGTGTAATCAGTTATTTTAATTCACACTCCATAGAGAGATGTTTTGACTTACCTGCAGCAGCAGGACCGCGGTCTTTGTTGTCGGTGTGACGTAATGCGTCTGCTGGTGGGTGGTGTTGATCCAGCTGGTGCTGAAAAGGTAGAATGGCAGGTGATTAGAGAGTCAATAAGGACTCTTACATTCACTCTTGTCATGCAGCGCTTGTGTGGCTCACCTCAACATCCTGCGGCAAATTCTTTCTTTCCTTTCGGTCTGACTCATATCTGTCCTGCTGTGTATGACTAATTCCTCACTATAGTCCTATCTACCAGAATAAAATACCTGTTTTAATTATAGTATAAATGAAAGAGGACAGACTGACAGTGGAACAGTGGTTGGTGCTCTTGCCTCATTGACATTTTCTGCAGCGCCCCCTGTAGATTATTGTCAAGCGTCCCCATATGGACACATTTCGATTTTTTTCACGTCAAAACTCCAGTTAAATTAACTTTAAACACCATAACATTTACTGCAAACTGGCCACTGTAATTGAGATGTTATTTTGAGATTGAGATGATTCTGTGAAACTAATTCTTCTTCCCAAACTTTTAGTATATGGCAAGATGGTTATTGATAGATGGATGGATGGATAGATAGATAGATAGATAGATACATAGATAGATAGATAGGTAGGTAGATGGATGGATGGATAGATAGTGGAATTATTCAATCTATTCTGTTCATGCATCGATCTATTCTGTTCAGGCAATTAAATGTTTTAAGATTTTAAACATATCAATTTCACAAACTGAAGAAAACTAACAATAGTATTTATCTGCAGAAGCCATGTGGTTTCTCCCACTGCAAGTGTCTTCATAGCTGGCCTTCTTGATCATCTTAAAGACTAGGGTGTTAACCAGGAAGACTCCAGCCTGATCACATTTAGACTCCACCGACTGAAAATTAAATCAGATTTTCTTTGAACGCTGCGAGCTTTGAACTCTGCCCACGCATCATTTAAAGAAATGTCTCATGACACATTTTAGACATGAAAATGTGCAGGTTGAATTTCTACCCCTCATGGTTTGCCCTCATCTTTGAACTGAACATGGAAAAAAAAAAAAGAAGAAGAAGAAAATTCCCAGCTCTCCATCTAAACCGTCATCTCGTTCTGCACAAACTTCCTGGCGGCAGTGATGATGCATTAAAGTCTTGAAATCGGTGTGACACGCACCGTTTGGTGTGATGAAAACCGCTCTGTATCTTACATGTTGTACACTTATTTTTCCTTTTTTCGAAAAACAGAACAAGTTGTTCAGTGTTAATTAGTTTGGCTTTACGGCACATACAGTTCCAGCACATTCTGATCAAATTCCAGACATACCTGAAGTCAAACACATCAAGTACAGCAGGTAATTCCTGGGAATAAATCCCCTCTTTTCACTCTTCCTCTGCAGGAGCTTCACAACTCCGACTGCACAACAGAACATTGAACCCAGCTGGTAGAATTTCACATCCAGAATCACTAAAACACTTTGCAAGAACTATCTGCATATTTTACGTGCTTGAGTTGCTGGAACTATAAGCTGAAAGTTCTTTTTTTATCTTCGTCTAAGAAATGTATGCAAATCAAGTTGTGGCACAAACAAGCCCCCTTAAAGACGAGCACTGCTCATCCAAAGAGAAGCCGCCTTCATCACCAGTTGCTCGAGCAAAGCTGTTAAGACTAATCCAGCAAGTCTGGCACCCGTACACCCTAAAGCCCCAACGTGATGGTAGCTTTTTTGTCTTTTTTTTTTTACTTCATCTGATTTAAAAATCGGAGATAAGAAGAGCCACTCTGTTTTTTGGCCATGACAGGAATCATTGTAAGTCACATTGCACCAGAATAAAATGCTGTTTCCTAATGATAAAAAGTAGATCAGTAGAAAACAATTAGATTAAAAGTTTTACATTTTCTCCACGTTGTAAAATCAACCTAACTGATGCTTAATGACAAACTTAAGTATATGTAATTAACATAAAGAATTTGTTTTACTCATTGTGATACCATGGCCTGTTTTACTAACATATACTAACAGAAATTGAAGAAAGACACCAGCAGATCGTCTTCAAAAGTTCTGAGAATTTCTCTTTTTTTAGTTTTCATAGTTTGCAGTGCTATAGTGCTGCCTCTTAGTCAGAGAGTATTTCAATATTTTGCCCATCACTGTAGCATAGATGAAAGAAGACACAATATTCACTGTAAATTAATAGATTTCAGACCAATTAATTGAAGCTTCCCACACTAAAACCGATGACCTCTTTTGTTCTCCCTCAAAAATGGACAATTGAGAAATAAGAGAAAACGTCAAATTCAAACCTGTTAACATATTTGAAGCTTTGACAACAGTTTTGACCTACTTCCAATCTATCTGATTTTTTTTCTCAAAGGCGATCCTCAGATCCTCTCGTTTAATGCAGACAAGTCTGTACCAACTTCTGACGTCTTTCTTCTCCTCTTCACACTCACTGTCATGACGTCCAGGCCCTGGAGGCTCAAGGACACAACCACCAGGGTGGTTGTTTGGGAAACAAGGAGCCAGCTGAAACTCTGTGGCATTTTCCAACCACAAGACCACCCGGGTACCAAGGACACACAGACCCTTTTGTTAGAACTCAAAACCAATAGGGGTCATTTTCACTATGATCTCAAGCTCTAAGCTGATTTTTCTTTCATATGTACAGCTACAGATGTATATGAATGGGATTACTGGTAAACAGTGCCATGGAGCAACACGGGGTGGTGTTTTGGAAATAAAGTCTCACCATAACAAACTCACTGTGGTGTTACAGTATGTTAGGCCACACTGTCTCAGGCTGCCTGTGTGTGAAATACACCTTATAAGGAGGTATTGTTTTTGTTTTTCTGTAGACTAATGGTTTCCAAAGTGGGGGGCGGAGCCCACTGTCGGGCTTGGAGCTATTGTGATTTTTATTATTTCTTTAATTGTCCCACAGCAATTTGTAATTTTATTTGTTTTGACCAAATTCTTTTTTGTATGTTATGTTACTGTCTCAGGCTGCCTGTGTGTGAAATACACCTTATAAGGAGGTATTGTTTTTGTTTTTCTGTAGACTAATGGTTTCCAAAGTGGGGGGCGGAGCCCACTGTCGGGCTTGGAGCTATTGTGATTTTTATTATTTCTTTAATTGTCCCACAGCAATTTGTAATTTTATTTGTTTTGACCAAATTCTTTTTTGTGTTTGTGTTTAAGCCAGACATTGGCAAATTAATTAAAGTGAGACTAAGTGTTTAAGCCAGACATTGGCAAATTAAGGCCCGGGGCCCGGATGCGGCCCATTCAGATTTTTAATTTGGCCCGCCAAACTCTTTCAAATCATACAATTTATTTATATTATCATTTTACTTCTGCCTTTTCCCTGCAATACCTATGTTTCCCCAATAGATGGTGTGGAAAATGATAAAAAGCATTTTAGCATTTTAGCCTTTATGCCTGACTTTCACGTCTCATTTATCATAGTTCACACGAACCTGTTCAATTTTAGGACAATCGTGGCCTGTGAGTCAAAACGTTTTCCCATGCTTGGTTTAAGCAAAAGCTGTCCTTGTGTCCATGTGAGGTGGTTCAGTGGCAATGTGAAGCTAACAGCATTGCATGGAACATTACTCAAGCTTTACATCTGTTAAATCAAATCCCTTCTACAGCAGAAACATGCTATCACTAATCACTAAATTGGGTTAAAAATCTACATTCCCAATCTCACCGAACAGTTCACTTACTCCTGATTTGGTCCTTGACCCCCACCACGACGCTGCTAAAATGAATTAATCAACCTGACACACTTATGTCAACCTAACTCAATGTTCTATCTGCTTCCTAAACTTTTGAACTGTTGTTTTCCATTTATGGTAAGAAAAAGTACAAACATGTTCAACATCACGTATTGGATAAACATGCGGCGCCATGCACATCAGAGGAGCTCATAGCTTGACGGGCCTGTCGTGCCGTGTTACCTCAGCTTGACTGTGATTGGGCTATGGTTGATTGTGGGAGCAGTTTCACAGCCAACTTGATGTCACTACGCTGCATTACAGAGTATTGTGTTTGCCTGGATCTTTTAACACGACAAATGAAGGGAGAAAATTAAAAACAGTTATGAAATAATGACGGAATCTCTCTTGAGCAGCAGCGGATCAAATTTAGAGGCAAGCTTTTAACTGTACACAGCTTGTTTTATCTTCCAAAGGCTCATCCTGTGTGTGTGTGTGTGTGTGTGTCCAGGAGAGTGTGTAGAGGATAAAAGGGGGAGTGGTTTGCGTGACAAGCAGAGGCATTACAAACCCTTTGCTGGTCTCCAGCAGAGGGAGGGCCGCGGTGGTGCAATCCACTCAGTGATATTAACAAGTCAATCATGTGAAATTAATGCTTTTATATCCTGCAGCCAAACACATAACTTAACAATAACCCCTGCAACCCACAGGTCGGGTCCGCCCCCTGCTCCGAGTGGCAACCGAGCCATTTTCTCGAACACTTTTTATTCACCTCTGCTGCTTTACCTTAGCTCTGCACTTTCCAATCGGCGCTGCACTTGTCATCGGGGCTTCTTATACACTGTAATGTTTTCCTCGCTCAGAGAAAGTTAAAGATTCAGCAAGGTAGGATCAGGAGCTGAATGCACAAAAAAAAATGAGTGAAAGCCAAGGGTTGCTGGCTGCTGGGATATATTCTGTCAGAGAGTTGTGGCGAGAGAAAAGTGTTCGCTGTAAAGTCATGGATTTCCTACTCATAATTCCACCTCTGTCAAGGTTTAATTACTCTCTGCCAAAGCACCATGTCGGCCCCCAGGCCTGGCCACACGGAAAGGTCTTTGCATCCAATCAAACAGGGTTTGACCTTTTAACCTTTCATCTCTTCTCCAATCATGGCATGACATTTCAGGTCTGTCAGGTGCGAGTCATCCCTGCACCCTGCGCCGCTCCCCCCACGCTTAAGGGTGTAGAGCGCTGCACTACATTAATCACGGAGACAATGTAATCGCAGCAGTTTTACTCTAATTCACTCTGCATATTCCTGGGTCTACGTCTTTGATTTAAAGCTCTGTCTCCCGCTCTCCTCCATTCCTCCCTCACTCCCCTTGTATCCTTGACCTTCACTTATTCCCATGGTAACTGCGTCTTACTTGAGGATTGTTCCAATGGTAAGTCAAGTGAGCCAATCCCTGGGCTTTAAGTTGCGCATCAACGACAAAGCTTTTCAAAAAAATCTAATTTAAGGGATTATCTCTCTATTGATTTCACTTAAAACCCATTCTTCTCTCTTTCCAGACCTCTGCCTCTGTGATAAAGTATCAGTGAAATAAGTGTGTGTGTGTGTGTGTTTCTGTGTGTGTAACTTAACACACTTTCACTTCCTCCAGGAACGTGAAGTGGGAGGTTCAGTCGTCTTACTTGGCCAAGCGCAGACAGCGGGCACGAGTGTGTGTGTTCATCTTTGCCTGCCTTTGCCGTTCCAACATTTTGGCACCTATCAGCGTCTGAGTGCTCAGTCGACTCACACACACTCACTCACACACATACATGGCTATGATTCTTTGCTGCATTAATATTCATCTGTGAGTGCATTGAGCAGAACAGATTAGCAGGAGTAATGATGAGCTTGTAATGATACGGGGACCAGAGCGATCCCGATAGTCAAAACAGGCATTCTTTAAACCCGACTGGAAAGAAGCAGACAAACTCATTACAGCTTAACAACCATTAGATTAGCATAAGTTCCTCTTTGAAGGGAATACACAGGCTGACTTCTTTGGTTTAACAACAGCTGGGTTTGTCCAAGGAACAGCATCGACAGCAAATCGCCATTTCCTGTTTTACCCCAGACTTTAGCCAAAATTATAAAAAAAACGAAATCAGAATTCAGTTATACTGTGTGCTTTATACTTGTATATAGAAGGGTTTAAATGACCGAATGAGTTGACTTTTACATCCACTCACATCTTGACAAATTTCTTGTCCAAACTGTGTGAGCCAAAGGGTGTACGTATATCAGGTTGTACGTCTGTTAGAGATTGTTTATTTTACACATATTTGCATCTTTGGAGCATCTGTTTACTTACTGACTTCAGTGCCAAATGTGAGAAAGAGTGGGTTGTACCAACACAGAGTTAAAGTAACAAACTTACCTTTTAACTAGTGAGAAACATCCAGGTTCATTCTTGGCTCTGGACCTTCTTCTGGAGCTTCTTCTAGTTCTGGGGTGGACTCTAGACCACTGCTTCTTGGATGCTCAATCATCGCCATCGGTTATGTGACGCCATCCTCAGGTCTTCCCCTTGTGGAAACGGTGGGTGTAGCATGCCGACGATTAATTTGCATACATTTAGCTGGCCCCTAACAATAAATAAATAAATAAATAAATAAATAAATAAAACAAACTTAATATTAGGTATTAGGTAGGTAATTAATAATATTATTTTTTCTTTGATAATACATTTATAATTGCGTCTCTGATGTTTGCTCTGGCTATCAGCATGACAATGTTGCTTGCTCATTAATTAAACTTTTGTACTTTCTTAGAAAGTCAATTAAATACTATTAGTAATTGGGTAAAGTAACAGACATTTTTAAAGTATTGCTACATTTAAATTTTGTAGCAGGATTATCGCAGTTTTAATTACAAAAAAAGCCAAAAAACATTTTTTAGAGTGCAGAAAGAATCACGCACTTGTTAGTGGCAAATTCGATGACGGCTGCTGAGGGGAGAGAAGTGCTACTGACTCAAAGCACATGAGCAGTTGGAGCAGGCTGCCAGTGCGGGGCTGTTGTTTACTGTTTGCCAGTCTTCACCATGCTTGGCTTCAGTCACAGTGACAGGTTGTCATGGCAGAGGCACTGACAAGCCTCTACCAGGATCAAAGTGGCACAGCGTCTGCGACAGTGCATAAGGTCACATTTGTGTACCGACCTGAGCGCCTGATTGTTTTTAGGGGTGTGTGTGTGTGTGTGTGTAATCTACTCTCACACTTCACAGATCAAAGGTTGCTGTCTGGTCATCGTACCGATGGGCCACCCTAGTGGCAAAAAAAAAAAAAAAACCTCTTGAAGGACTTAAACACACATGTATGCACGTACACACACGGAACACATGTCGAAATGGATGCCAACTGTTACCATGGAAACACACCACAAAACCAGGGAGAGGGAACGACAGAGAGAGGGAGAAAGGGGGGGAAAGAGGTGGAAGAGGGGTGTAGAGGCAGACAGTGAACAGAATCAGCTCTGTCAATAGGTTGCCAAGCAACACTCAACACTAACGAAGCTGGGTTTGATAACTTGTTGATAACGCCAGTCGGAGAGCAGGTTCGTGTGTGTGTGTGTCTGAAATGGCAGTGTTATTAGCAGAGGCAGTGAAAGAGCCCCTGCTGAGACAAGCCCAAAGCAAAGATAAGGGGAGAGACCTTGTATTAAAGACAGGGTTCCCAGTGGGGCCCTGGAAAACACACACGTAGAGACCCAGAGCCAAATGAAATCACATGACACAAAGAGTGGTGCTTAAACATTTTTTGTTTTTTTTTATTCAACCTTTTTTTTTCCAAACCAGGAATGTTCTAGTTTTTCATCCTCTCTTTAGAGGTGTGGTTGGGAGGAATGCTGAAGGAAGTGCAGGGACAGAGGGAAAGGGAAGGGAAGGGAGGGAAGGGAAGGGAGGGAAGGGGGGAGCTGTTCTGGGGTGAACCATGATGAGTGGAGGAGGGATAAATTGGAGATTAGAGAGAGGAGGAGGAGGAAGGAAGAGGAGGAGGAGGAGAGGAGCACAAAAAATAACCCTTCTTTTACACAGAGATGTCCCGAATACAAAGTCTCAACACGTCACGTACGAGAGTCACCTTGCTTTGTTGGCCTCCACTCACTGGCTAATGGCACAAAGAAATGCACACACACACTCTCACACACACATTTTTACCAAACAGAGAGGTAAGGGAGACTGGCAGGAGCTCTCGCCCTCTTTCTTTTTCTCCCATTTTTTCCGTCCAAACAACACTCTCCCCCTTTTAGACATGACAACCAGTGGTCGTGTCCGTAGTTTTTCAGAAACAAAAACACCAACGAAAAAGCCAACACGCTGAGTTGACCAGTCAAACACAAACGGTCAGAGCCAGAGACACAACTTTGAAAAATTACACCGACATGAAAATCAAACGCTTAGAAGAAAGGAATAAAACAACTGGGTCCGGGAGATACTTGACATTCTGCTGAGAAAGGGGGGCGGGGGGGAGCGGAAGGCCAATGGAGTGAAAACGGGGCAGTGGCTTTTTCATCAGGAGTTGTCGCCGTAAAGTCTGAAAAGTTTTGCTCTTTCCCCTCTTCGAATTGAGGAGCCATTTTAGCAGAAAATGCTGTCCTTTTGGATTGAAGTGCTCCAAGACGTGGTGGACAAGAGTGTAACAGACACTTTATTTTGGCTTGGAGGATTGTTTCAGGAACTTGGAACATGTTTAAATAGACACGGACTTACCAAAAAAAAAAAGAAACACAAGTTGGTAATTGTACAAAAAGAAGTCGTCAAGGTGTCTTCCCCCCTCGTTCTATCCACGAGATCAACTGATGCAGTCAAATGCAATCCAAACCCATGGTACAAAAACATATCAGAACATCATCATCATCATCATCATTTTTTGAACAAAGTCAAATTGGACAAATGTGACACTTAAGTATGAAATATATCTTATTATAGGATGTTATACTGATACAAAACACAGCTGAGAGGTGTGGAAAGGTCCAGATCCAAACACAGAGAACATGGCCACAGCACTTTGAGACCTTATGTGTAATGCGCGTATGCGTATGGCTGAATTTTTTTTTTCTTAAAAATAACACCAGCGTAAGCTCGCTACTGCCACCCAGGGTACACAAAAGCCATAAACATTTGTTGAGCAACACAAAACAGAGCGTCAAAAATATGCAAATGAGACCAAACTGCAGCGTTGAACACAGTGCTGTCACTGCCCCACCGAGGGTGAGGTGTGAGTGTGTGTGTGTGTGTGTGAGTGTTTGCCCAAAGGTGAGGGCAGACATTCGGCATACAAGCCCGCTGTTCACCCCGCGGCATGTCCATTGGGTATGTTATAATCACACTAATATGGAGTCGCATGAAAGCATATCAGCGTTTTTTTATAGTGTGAGTGTGTGTGTGTGCAAGGGTGAGGGGGGGTGAATGTATCTCATTCGATGCGATCAGAAGGCATTTGTGACAGTCGTTAAATGGTGTGCAAACTGTGAGTGTGTGTTTGTGTTTGGGACACAGGTACAGCCAGAGAGATGGTGTGTGTGTTTGCAATGAGCATGTCGGGAGGTTGTGTGTGTGTGTGTGTGTGTGTATGCGTGTCTTTGCATGTTTTGCGTGTAATGCGGATTTCAACCCAACAAACGTTGCGGGAAAACAGGAGTAAAATTGTAACTGTGTCGCGTCGTTAACGCAAAGTGTGACTCAGTTGAACCGCGGATGTGCTCGTGTGTGAGTAAGAGAAAGGGATGTTGGAGTTGGACTCCTCCGTTTGCTCCCGTTCAGGAGGCCGGGACCCTCTGGTTGAAGAAAAGGTGTCTCTCCTTCACCCGCCAGTCTTTAATCTGTGCTCTCCATTCTTCCCTGCTCGGGATCCTTCATCTCTCAATCCTGCCGATCCTTTTTGCTTTTTTTTTTCTCTCTTCTTCAGTGTGAAATTCCATCACAGTCTTTTCTTTTCCCATCTCCCCGCTTTCCTCTTTTTATATGATTTTTTTAAAGTTCTGCATTCAGATGCCACGTTAGTCATCCTCCCCAGACAGCTCTCTCTCTCTCTCCCTCTCTCCCCCCCGTTCCCTTGCCTTTATTCTTCTTTTTATTTCATCCCCTTCACCACACCCTCCCCGCCATCGCCCCTCACTTCTGTGTTTGAAAAAAATAAAATAAAATTCATAGATGGTTCTACCTCAACACTTCCACAAACGAGGTCTAAACTTCAAAACTACGGCATAGTACAAGGAGCTATAAAAATATACACAGAGTTCAGAGACCCTAGAAGGGGAGGGAGGGTGGGGGAGGAGGGGGGAGAGAGAGGCTGGGGTGGTGAATGAGCGAGGAAAGAGAGGAAGAGAGAAACAACCTCTGATCGCCGGGACATTTGAAAAAACAAAAAAACAAAAACAAAAGAGGATTAAATTAATATTCAACCAAAAGGGAAAAGTGGAGAAACAAGGTTGGTCTATGTCGTGAAAAAATAAAACAGCAAAAGAAAAAAAGAAAAAAGAAGTCTATTAACAGAAATGCAGTTTATAGGAGTGGATAAAAATAATAAAACAATAGAAAACTGAAGGAAACATCTAGAAATTATTTACTGGATATTTATATATATAATCTATAAGTGTTGATAGCGATAAAAAATCTCACTTTTTTGATATTCGCTCACTATTTTGTGTTTTGGTATTTAAGACAAGTCTAAAGAACGCAGCCACGCCCATTCACACACACACAAAAACACAGGCGTATGCCACCTGTTTCACTGAAGCACACCAACTGCACACACATCACATGTGGAGCAGCAGCGCCATATTTACTCTCCTACACACACACACACACACACACACAATCAGCCGCACACAAACACACAAACACACGCACATTAATAAAATATACAAGATTCTGAGTGTCACCGATTGGTCAGACCTCCTCAGGCCTAGACCCGGGCCCGGTCGTGTGACCGTTGCACAGGCTTGCTTGATTGGTCGAGTCCCAAGGCCCCTGTTTACTCAGGAAAAACAAACACAAACTAGAATCCTATTGGTGTGTTAGTGGCAGGGGCTGGTCTCTGATTGGCTGATGAAGCTCCGAGGGCTGTGATGGTGGGATAGGCAGGATTTCTCAGAGCTCGCTGGGTTCATGTGTGTAGCTTTTTCTGTTGTGTTCTTTTATCTCTTTTTAAATCAATGTGTGTCCCAACGCCGGTCCATTTTCCTGGAAAAGAGTGTGTGCGGCACATGCACACTGGCATTTTGGGGAACAACTCTTCTATTCAGCAAAGGTGGGGCAGGATTAGTTCAGAGTTAACAAGAAGGGGCCACTCAGAGACCCTTGTCTATTCGTGAGGGCCTTGTTAAGAAGGGACTCGTATAGTTAACACAGCGCCCCCTTGGCACACAGTGTGTGGCCCAGTTGTGTAAGTATATGGAGAGGATTGTTTTGTCAGCTAGCAGCCCAACTGTGGCCGTGGGGGAACTGAGGACTCACAGGGCAGAGAGTGGGGTCCGTGGGACAATACTGGCGGCGTTGAGGGGTTCGGGAACGGAGCTCACATAGCGAGCTTCACTGTGTCTTCATTTGGAGCGAGGGGTTGTTTGAAAGTTGGTGCATGGAGGAGCCTGTGTCCAACTGTCCAGAGCAGCGGCCGTCTCATACTTTATAGTAGATGTTGGCTGGACTCTGAGGCGGCATCTCCTGGACGATGTAGACTGGGTGCCCGTAATCCCCGCTCACCTTTTCGTAATGCGGGCAGTAGGCGGAGTCTGACGTCCGCAGGGGGATGATGATGTCACTGGGCTCTGAGCCGTTGTTGTTGGAGCTACTGAGGCCCCCGCCGCCTCCGCGCTTGGGGCTGGTGAGTGAGGACAGGGACAGCGGAGGGTGGTGGGTGTCCGAGTGTTTGGCGTGTCGCCTTCGGTAGCACACCACGCATATCACAGCGGTCACCAGGAGCAGAAAGGCGGAGCCTCCGGCAGCACCGGCGATGACGGCGATGTTTGAGGTTTGAACCGGTCCATTTTCGCCGTTGCCCTCGTTCCCAAAGCTGTTGGGTCTTTGGGAATGAGTTGAGTTCCCTGTGCCACCTGAAACAAATAAAAAAAAAAAAACATTTTGAGTGACTATCCATAATATCACCAGCTGCTTCCTAAACATGCACATCCTCAACCGACTGCACTGAAATATGCATTTTAATAGTCAGTCCTTTGGCGCGGTAACAACACGTTCTGTGTTCTCTGGGACCGTGGACCGCAGTAACACACTTAGTACTGGTGCTGCTGAACACTGCGCAGACTAAACGCAGTGGAATGCGCAGCAGGCCTGAAGACATTTCACAGAGGCTTACATGTGGTTTCTTTATTGATATAATGAAGTGGACAGCAGTGCATATAAAACGAAGGAGGAATGTCCGCACGCTGTGTGACTGAGTGTCTCCGCTCCACACTTGTGCGGACAGCAAAGCCGCAGTTATGTATCAAGGTAACACACACTATTTTCTTAAGCCTACCAACTGTATTTCCACTGCATTAAGCGCTGACCACATGAAGGAGGACTCAGCGCTCCTGTGCTCCTACCACCCGACCACACAGTCTCCCCGGCCCTCTGGCCTTACTGCCGTCTGTCCCCTCTGCTTATCTGTCCGTCTGTCTGTCTGTTTATCTAACTTGTGTGTCACCCTATCTTTCTATTTGTCGGCTGGCTGCTCTCTCTGCCTCTCATGTGACAGCCACAGATTCTAGACCTCAACCACCTCCTGATGCCTGGCCTCCTCTGCAGGAAGTCAGGTAAGAGCTCAGCAGGTTACTGATGGTCTGGATGACATACATGTGGAAGTGAGTGTCAGTCTACAGCATCCAGGCATGGACGTTAGGTTCCCTGGCTACAGACCATGCATCTGACCGTGGTGAAATGGTTAGGGTCAGTAATGCGACTCGCTGTTGTAGCGAGTGTTTGGATTGGTCACTCATTATTCCCGGCACATTTCCTTTTCTCTT